GGGGAAAGAACGTTTCTGCTGCTTCCCAGATGACTGTTGGCCTTTAATAGTTGTGAGTAGATTGCTTATTGGTTCATAAGATTTCATAGAAGAAAGACAGGATTTGGAATCCTCAGTTACAGGTTTGAATTCTAACAGCACTTCTTACTAATTGTGTTTGTTAAGCAAGTCTGCTTAATCTTCTGAGCCTGGAATCTTACTTTGCACTTTTCTGAACTGCTAAATGGAAAGGAAGTAACAGGATGAAAGGGAATAGTGGATTAAGAAGTGCTTTTTATGTGGTGTAACCTCTTGTTTTCCAAACACTGATTGATGCATAGAATCAGTTGGGGAACCTTTTGGCTTTTTATTTTTATTTTTTTAAGTAGGCTCCACACCCAACACGGGGCTTGACGAACTCACAACCTTGAGATTAAGAGTTGCATGCTCTACTGACTGAGCCAGCCAGGTGCCCCTGGAGAGCTTTCTTTAAAGGATTGATTTCTGGGACCTGATCTGAGAATCTACTAAATTATGACTTTGGGGGGCAAAGGCTGGGCATTTGTATTTTTTCAGAAGTAGATGTTAGGCAAATACGTAAATAAAATTTTGGGCGGGGGGGGAGTAGATGTTGGGAACTACAGGGTACAGTACCATGGAGGTGTTTTTCCCTACCATGTGCCATCCCCTCATTGCTGAGCACACTCTAGGTTGCATTCCTTAGTGACTTTGGTGTGAGCTTTCTGGATATTAATCACAGGGGACAATCAGAGGTGGTTAGTCTGTTGTCAAGAGGTATCTCAGTGCAAAAAAAGCATTAGGGATTTTTTGTATTTAAGGCTTTCTGGAACTGCTCTTTTGAGGAGATCTAAGACTGACTTGAATGGAAAAGGAAGCAGAACTAGAGGTTTCTAAAACAGTTACTTTCACACTGATGGTCTTCCGAGTAAAATCTAGTTCATCCTATGCGGAATCCTGCATTGCTTTGATAACTTTGAGGGCTCAGAAGAGAGTTGAGTTCAGTTATATACCTGGTTTGTTATAAAAGTGGCTTCAAATTTTTGTCAGAATCAAACCACAGGATGTAGAGTTCTTTAATTCTCCTGGTTTTTCTTCCCCACATCTTTGCAGGCACTGTGTCGGGCAGAGGATGAAGAGGATATCCGTGCGGCCACCCAGGCCAAGGCCGAACAGGTGGCTGAACTTGCAGAATTCAATGAGAATGATGGGTTTCCTGCTGGTGAGGGAGAGGAGGCCAGCCGGCCTGGGGCTGAGGATGAAGAGATGTCCCGAGCTGAGCAGGAAATTGCTGCCCTTGTAGAACAGGTCAGTGTTGTACCCACTAGTTCTCAACCTCACCCTTCACAACTTCTTCCTCTGGACCTTGTGGTCCTCCTTCTATCTTTTCTGGTGAAACTAAGGGTGATGGGCCCTGGTTACCAAGTTCCTACGTTCACCACCACTGCTCCTTCCCACAGCTGACCCCCATTGAGCGCTATGCCATGAAATTCCTGGAAGCTTCACTGGAGGAGGTGAGCCGAGAGGAGCTCAAGCAGGCAGAAGTGAGTATTTCTAGGGGGTGGGGACGGAAGTGAAAAGTGGCTGCTTTCTACCCACTTCCCACCCTGCTTGCTTCCCTCTGACCACCCACTGTTTGGGCTCTCTTGTTGGTAGGAACAAGTGGAAGCTGCCCGCAAGGACCTGGACCAAGCCAAGGAGGAGGTGTTCCGCCTACCCCAAGAGGAGGAGGAGGGGCCAGGGGCTGGGGATGAGGTTTCCTGTGGGACTGGTGGAGGCAGTCACCGGCGCAGTAAGAAGGCCAAGGCCCCTGAAAGGCCAGGGACTCGCGTCAGTGAGCGTCTTCGTGGAGCCCGGGCTGAGACTCAAGGGGCAAACCACACTCCTGTCACATCCACCCATCATACCCGTAGCACTTCCACACCCCCACGCTGCAGCCCTGCCAGGGAGAGAGTTCCCCGGCCAGCACCTAGGCCTCGACCCACTCCAGCTTCAGCTCCTGCTGTAATTCCTGCCCCAATCCCTGTTCCAATCCCTGCCCCGATCCCCATTTCAGCCCCAAATCCAGTAACCATGCTTCCTGTTCATATCTTGCCTTCTCCCCCACTTCCTCCTTCACAGATTCCTCCCTCTTGTTCTTCTGCCTGTACCCCTCCTCCTGCCTGTACCCCTCCACCAGCTCATACCCCACCTCCCACCCAAACCTCTCTCTCAACTCCTTCCTCCCCTCTCCTGCTTGGTCTACCTTCTGTACCCATCTCCCCCCCAGTCACCAACCTCCCCTTTGGCTTGGGGCCTGAGACAGAGCTGTGTGCACAAGCATTGGCATCTACCGAGTCCCCGGAGCTGGCTGATATGGCCAGTTCCGAGACTTCCCCGCTTACTCTTGTGCCCCCTAAGGATCTGTTGCCACTTGCTGTTGAGATCCTGCCTATATCAGAGAAGAACCTTTCTCTCGCCTCTTCTGCACCTAGCCCAACCCTGGAGGCTGACAGCGTCCCCAACGGTCAAGAGCAGGAAGTGCCAGAGCCTGCTGAGGGGACCATCCTCACAGTGCTGCCTGATGGTGAGGAGGTGCCCTCGTGTCTGAGTGAGAGCAATGGGCTGGATCTCCCACCTTCAGCAGCATCTGATGAGCTACTTCCGGAGCCATTGGAAGCTGACAAGAGCTCAGAAGAGCTGGTGGAGGCCCAGACCCCAACCTCCAGCCCAGAGAAGACACAGGAACTTGTTTCAGCAGAGGTCACAGCCCCATCAACCTCATCCTCCACCACCTCCTCGCCTGAGAGTCCTTCACCTGCCCGGCCCCCTCGGCGTCGCACCAGTGCTGATGTAGAAATTAGGGGTCAGGGGGCTGGTCGCCCGGGGCAGCCTCCAGGCCCCAAAGTGCTCCGCAAGCTGCCAGGACGGCTGGTGACTGTGGTTGAGGAGAAGGAATTGGTGAGGCGACGGCGACAGCAGCGGGGAACTGCCAGCACCCTAGTGCCTGGGGTCTCTGAGACTGGTGCCAGCCCGGGAAGCCCATCTGCCCGCAGCATGTCGGGGCCAGAATCCTCACCTCCCACCAGTGGGCCCTGTGAAGCTGCTCCCCCATCCACACTGCCCACCCCAACTCAGCAGCCCTTCATAGCTCGCCGTCGCATTGAGCTGGGGGTGACTGGTGGGGGCAGCCCAGAGAATGGAGAAGGGGCACTGCTTGCCATCACCCCTCCAGCTGTGAAACGTCGGAGGGGGAGGCCCCCCAAGAAGAACAGGTCTCCAGCAGATGCTGGGCGAGGGGTGGATGAGGTACTTTCATCCACCTCTAAGGGAAAAACCAATGGGGCTGACCCAGTCCCTGGGGCTGAGACCCTTATTGTTGCGGAGCCTGTCCTGGGACCCCAGCTTAGTCCTGGGCCCCAGCCTCTTGGACCCCAGCCAATTCACAGACCCGAGCCCATCATCCTCTCACCTGTGGAGAAAAGAAGGCGTGGGCGGCCCCCTAAGGCACGAGATTTGCCCATTCCTGGGACCATTTCCTCTCCAGGGGATGGCAACTTAGAGAGCCGGACACAGCCACTCCCGCTACCACCTCCCCTGCCACCACTCCCACCACTCCTAGCCTGTCCCACTGCTACTGTCGCCAACACTGTCACCAATCTCACCATGTCAACATCCCCACCCAAGCGGAAGCGGGGCCGACCTCCCAAGAATCCACCGTCACCTCGGCCCAGCCAGCTCCCTGTCTCGGACCGCGACAGCTCTTCTGTCCTTGAGAGCTGTGGATTGGGGAGGCGGCGGCAACCCCAGGGCCAGGGGGAGAGTGAGGGTAGTTCCTCTGATGAGGACGGAAGCCGCCCCCTCACCCGCCTGGCCCGCTTGCGGCTGGAAGCAGAGGGAATGCGGGGACGAAAGAGTGAAGGGTCCATGGTGGTGGCTGTAATTCAGGATGACCTGGATTTAGCAGATAGCGGGCCAGGCGGGTTAGAATTGACACCTCCTGTGGTCTCGTTAGCTCCAAAACTGCGCTCGACCCGGCTGCGTCCAGGGTCTCTAGTCCCCCCACTAGAGACTGAGAAGGTGCCTCGCAAACGGGCAGGGGCCCCAGTTGGCGGGCCTGGGCTGGCAAAGCGGGGCCGCCTACAGCCCCCAAGTCCCCTGGGACCTGAAGGTTCAGTAGAGGAGTCTGAGGCTGAAGCCTCAGGTGAGGAGGAGGAAGGGGATGGGACCCCACGTCGCCGGCCTGGCCCCCGCCGACTTGGTGGGGCCACCAACCAAGGGGACCAGCGCATCCTGCGTAGCAGTGCCCCTCCCCACCTGGCTGGCCCTACTATTAGTCACAGAGGCCGCAAGGCCAAGACGTGAGTGGGCTGCCCCTCCACCTAGGCTTTCTGCCATGGCCCCTCTTCCTCCACAACCAGGCCTGACTCTGTTAACCACTACTTGAAGTCTTGAGGGGGAAAGCCTCCAGGGAGACATAGGGGCCTTCTCCCTTCTTTCCACCAAAGTAGGGGGTAGGCAACTGGTTGTCTTGGAAATGGGGCTCTTCACATACCCCCTTCCCTTCCACCCCACATGGCTGGGCAGTGTTAAGGGTGGCAAGATAGTCTCTGTCCCCACCCCCTTGTACTTGATTCCCCAGCTATCTTTCACAGCCCCCCACCCTTAGGGGAAGGGGGAGGGGCTTCTCTCTACCATGAGTTTTTTTTTTTTCTTTTTTTTTTAAGAAGAAAAAATAATAAACTTAGTTTCTGTATGAGCATCCGCGTAAGGAGGCTTCTGATTTTCTGGTCTGGTGGAGGGTTGGGTGGGAACTTGGGCATCGTTTTCCTCCTCTCTTGTTCTTGCCAACACCTTGGTACCTGATTTCTAACCCAGAATTATGTGTCTTTGAGGCAGAAATCACCCAAGAGGAGGAAGATTTGGCAAATCTGATCTGGTAGGGTGCCTTTCCTTAAAGTTTCAGTTTTAAGTCACTCCAACTCATACTTTTTCTTTCCTATTCCCTTAGTTCCCGGGCTTGCCCTCAGAGCTCTCTGATGCCCCAGACTTTTCCCTGCTTTTACCCCCGTTGCTCAGGTGCTTTCACTCCTTTTCCAGAAGGCAGGCATCCTACCTCCAGTCGTTCTTTCCCCCCCACCCCTTTGCTTTCCTCCATCTTGCCAAACTAGTTTGAGTCCGCCACACCCCCTTCTGAGCTCCTGGGGCCTTTTGGGTGGTGGCTGGCCACCCAACCCCACCCCTAGGCTTGGCTTGGAGACCTGAGTCAGCTCCAACTCCACCTAAGCCAAATCAAACCTGAGGCAGGAGCCGAAACTCAAAGTCCCTCGAGGCCTATAGCCAGGTAAGAGCCCCTGTTCGTCTTTACGTTTTCTTTGGTCTCAACTCCCTGGACCCTACCCTTGCATTCTCCCCCTAATGACTGTATCTATGTTTACCTCATCAGTTCTTTCCTCATACCCACTCTCCTGCAGCCTTGTGGCAGAGATTCTTTGTGCTCTGTTTCTCTTGCCTCCTTTCACTCTGTCCTTTATTGCTTGTGTTCAGAGAACTGTAAATGGCTCCATTTTGTGTAGCATGTAGGGGGATGGTTGGAGATGAGGGTGGGAAGGTGGTTTGATGCCACGGCTCAGAGGACTTGAGAAGTTAGGGAGATGAGGAATGATTAAGCAGGTTTCTGTGTGGGTTATGAGGTCATAGTGTTAATCTGAATATATTGTGTGGCCTGGGTTAAAACGGAGAGAAGAGGTGGCAGGGAGTCAGCATAGTGAAGGAGGCCCAATTTGGGGAGGTAAGGTTTTTCTGATGTTCAGCTTCCTCTACTATGAAGAGAGCTTAGATGGGTCCTTTCTTCCTCCTTTCCCCCATCCCTGTGTTTTCATCCACTGTGTTTTCACATGAAGTGGCTGCTTTGCTTGAAGTGGGGTACCAGGGCTTAGGGTGCCATTTTGTGACCCCTCCTTAATCTTCAGGGGCAGCTCCTGAGGGACTTCAGAGAATTTTAAGGCCCTTTGAAATACAGTTTAAAATCACTGATTTGTGTAGTCTGATTCTTAGCAGCTTTTGAGATTGTGTTTCTCCTGCTTGTCAGTGTGCACCTGTCATTTTGTTTTTCCCTACTTGTCAAAACGGTTAAGTAATACAGATAATACTGTATTCGTGCCGGCTTGCCTTTGAAGATTCAGAATCTTAGGCTGAGAAAAAAGGATTCCGGCTGCTCATTTCCTCTCTTTGGTCTCTGAGTCAGGGGAATTCCCCAGTAAGGCAGCATTCCTGAGAGTTGGGCTAGGTCACGAGGACACATCAGAGAGAGGGGTGGAGTCTGACCAAGCCAGGCCAATGGCTCAGTTGTTGGGCTTACGATTACCTTGACTATCGCCCACAGGTGATGGAGGACGAGGAGAAGGCAGTGGACACCTTGGTGAGCAACATGGGAGCTGCTCATTCTCCATCCCCCATCCGCTGCTGCTGGCTCCGCCTCCGCTACTTGGCAGCTACTAGCATTATCTGTGGCTGCTCTTGCCTGGGAGTCGTGGCCCTTGTGTTTGCCATCAAGGTGAGGAATGCAATTCCTATGGGAGCAGGGGCTGGGTGTAGTTAGGCAATGATCTGTCTACATTGATCCCACAGCTACTAAGTACCTGTCAGAGCTTGGCTCTGGGCCTGGTGTCAAAAATAAGAATGACATGGTTCCTGCCCTCAAAGGGCCCACAGTCTAATGAAAGAGAAAACTGAAAATGGGTAATGAATGGAATGTAGCTCATCAGTATTGTGATGGAGGAAACACAAGGTATTCTGGAAGCTAGGGAGGTTATGTATGTGTGATTACATATATGTGTATGTAGAGTAGGTGACAGGAAAGTAACAAACGATTAGTGAGTAAGGGTTGAAAGCGCATTCCCGGTAAAGGGAACAGTGTGTACAAAGGCCTGGACTATTAGTTCCGCATGACCGGATCAGTGAGGAATGGTGACAGATGAAGCCAGAGGGTCCAGATTCCTAAGGGCCTCCCAATGTTGTGCTTGGAGTTTAAACTTCATCTTGAAAGTACTGGGGAGTACTTTCAAGAGTTTTTGCAGAGGAAAGTGACATGGTCAGGTCTGTGTTTCAGGGCCTACCTGGAGGATGGATTGGAAGTGGCAGGACTCGAGGCAGTTGAGCAGTGATTAGAGCAATCTGTAGCAGTTGGGAAGAAGCTCTGGGGTTTTTGAGAGGGCTCCACCATTTCCAAACACCGGGACTGCACATGCACCTTTGGAAAGGCCACACAGGCTAACTTAAATAGCATGCTGGAATTTTCTCAACTCTGGTTGTATTTTGACAATCAGAAACTGTATTCTTACTAGCATGAGAATTTCTGGTTTTGTCAAGTCAAAATCATAAAAAGAATCCTTAATAATGAAAGCGATGAGGCCTATTGGGCTAATGAGAAGGGGGTGTTGTTTGGCTGGACGGGAGGGAAATACTCCAAGATAGCTCTCGGTTTCTTGCCAAGGATTCCAAATTCTGAATGAACGTGGGCTGAGTAGAAAAGGATGGGGGATAAAAGGATTGAAAAGTACTTTCCCATATGTGATCTTATGAGCTAACAGTGGCTACTCGGAAACGTACACAGTGCTGAGTGGGAACCTTACTTTGCAGATGAGGCATGAGAAATAGACATTGGAAAGGGAGGGCAGGGGGTTTGGGTGTCAGGTTTTGATCCATGACAGGGATGGAGGATTGGTGTGGGGCAGTGGGCACTTTGGGGCAGAAGCAGGGGGAGAACCTAACCAAAAACCTGCCCCCACAGGCGGAAGAGCGGCATAAGGCAGGCCGGTTCGAGGAGGCAGTGCACTGGGGGGCCCGGGCCCGGAACTTCATCCTGGCCAGCTTTGCCGTCTGGCTTGCTGTCCTCATTCTGGGCCCCCTGCTTCTGTGGCTGCTCTCCTATGCCATCGCCCAGGCTGAGTGACCCTGGGTGGCCTCTGCTGAGAGTCAGCGAGACCTCCTGGATCCTGCAGTGCGGCATTGCTAGGGTCTGAGGCCGGCAGTGGTCCTTCCTGGCTGGAAGGATGGTGCCTCTCTCAAAGGTCTTTGGAAGAACTCTTCTAGACCTTTCTAAAAGGAGGCAGCAGCTGAAACTGTTGAGGGGAGGCCAGCCTGCTCTGTTCTTTCAGTGTCCACCATCCCCTATTTCCCCCAGCCTACTACATCCTAGGGGCCTCAACCCAGAGGTGGGGTTGAAGACCAGGCCTGATTTTATTAGAATTTGTTTTGTAATAAAAATCTTTTTTAGTGGTGAAATGTTCCTGTCTAATTGTTGTTCCCCTACTTTCCCTGGGCCCTTGGCAAGAGCCAGACTGGACATCTGACTGATGGCAAAAGTCTGCGTTTTCCCTTACTTGGGAGCTCCAAGAGGATTTTTCTTTTTTCCTTCTCTTGCAAGTTTCCCTTCTTGGAAAGACCCCAGCTTCTCCCTTGCTCATCAGCAGAGAGACCCTGCGGCCAGATAGGAAGAGGAGCCGCAGCAGCTACTCTTCATGGAGTGCTTCTTGTGTCCCAGGCTGCGGTCTTAGGTGCTTTCTATTACCTAACTCTTTCAACCCTCACAGCCACTCAGTAGGAGGTCCCAGTGTTTTCATTTTGTAGTTGAGGAAGCAGGCGCCCAAGGTCATACAGCTAGTAAGAGGCAGAGTTGACATTGAACCCAGATGCTTTGGTTCCAGAGTTGAGAAAGGAATGAAAGGGTTGGATGGCAGCTGCAGTGAATTTCTACCCTGGATATGAAATTCTGTAGGATTATAATGAATTTTCATATCCTTTATCTTGGGCCTCCCGGTAATATTTTAAACATATTTTAAATTGTGAAGTATATCACATATACAGGAAAATGTCCAAAATGAGAATAGCTTTTAACAAAGCAAACATTTGAAAACCACCATTCAGTCAAGAAATTGAACATTGACAGCACTCCAAAACCTCCTTTAGACCTCTCCCAATCACTGCTCCTTCTTTTCTTCACACAGATACCTAGCATTCTGACTTCTAACAATGGAGTTTAGTTTTGCCTGCATTTGAACATTTATATAAATGGAATCCTATGTATTCTTTTTATGTCTGGCTTCTTTTACTTAACATTGTTGGTGAGATTCATCAATATTTGGTGTAGCTGTAGTTGTCATTACTCTGTAGTATTCCATTATATGAATATATTAACAATTTGTCCATTTTCTGTTGGTGAACTTTTGGGATGATTCCATTTTGGGGATATTATGAATCTTGCTGCTGTGGACATTCTTATACATGTCTCTTGGAGTACATGTGCCCTGGGAATTGAATTTTTGGGTTATTTCACCATAATTCAGAGACCAGCAGAGCACCTGAAGGAATTAGAGATACTTGTTGCACTCTGAAGAGAGATTAAAGCGAAGATGGTTGTCTTCAGGGTTCCAAAGTGCCCCAGGAAGGAAAAGTGAAGAGTATCCATTGCTGGTCCCAGAGGTTAGAGTTACAACACTGGTTAGAAGCCACACCTAGGGCATTGGCTCTCAAGCTCCGCTTCACCATAGAACCACTTGGGGAGCTTTAAAAAGTACTTATGGGGGTGCCTGGATGGCTCAGTCGTTAAGCATCTGCCTTCGGCTCAGGTCATGATCCCAGGGTCCTGGGATCGAGCCCCGCGTCGGGCTCCCTGCTCAGCGGGAAGCCTGCTTCTCCCTCTCCCACTCCCCCTGCTTGTGTTCCCTCTCTCTCTGTCAAATAAATAAATAAAATCTTTAAAAAATAAAATAAAAAAATAAAAAGTACTTATGCCTGGGCTTCAGCCCTACAGATTCTGATTTAATTGGTGTAAAGTGCTGCCTGCCTGGGCATCAGGGAAACACATTTTAGAGAGATTTTTTTCTACAGAAACCTTTTTTTAAAGCTAATATTTCATTAATCAGCAGCTTTAGGTTACTAGAGACTATATCCTATTCCTCCAAAGTGATTAAATGAGGTCTCGCTATTTTTTTATTTTTGCTTTTTTTAGGTCTCACTGTTTTGTGTTTTTTTTGTTTTTTTTTAAAGATTTTATTTATTTGAGAGAGAGAGAATGAGAGATAGAGAGCACGAGAGGGAAGAGGGTCAGAGGGAGAAGCAGACTCCCTGCTGAGCAGGGAGCCCGATGTGGGAGTCGATCCCAGGACTCCAGGATCATGACCTGAGCCGAAGGCAGTCGCTTAACCAACTGAGCCACCCAGACGCCCATAGGTCTCACTGTTTTTTAAAAATACTTATTTGTCAGAGAAAGGGAAAGGGAGCACAAGCAGGGGGAACAGCAGGCAGAGGGAGATGCAGACTCCCCACTGAGCAGGGAGCCCGATGTGGGACTCCATCCCAGGACCCCAGGATCATGACCTGAGCCAAAGGCAGGTGCTTAACCGACTGAGCCACGCAGGCGACCTGGGTCTCACTATTTTCAAACTCAATTTTGAAAAACTTTCAAACCTACTGAACAATAAGAGAATGGTACAATGAACTCATGTGTGCTCTTCACCTAAGTTTATAATTTTTAACATTTTACCACAGTGGTTTTACATCTAGAATACACATACTGGTATTGCAGAGCCATTTGAGAGTAAGCGGAAGGCCCTTCGTTCCTAAATTCTTATTTACAATTTTTAGCGTCAGTATGGTCTCAGATTGTTTTTTAGTTCAATTTGTTTTATCCATTACTGTCATCCTTCTTAAAATATATTTGAGGTGTGGGCGCCTGGGTGGCTCAGTTGGTTAAGCAACTGCCTTCGGCTCAGGTCATGATCCTGGAGTCCCGGGATCGAGTCCCGCGTCGGGCTCCCTGCTCGGCAGGGAGTCTGCTTCTCCCTCTGACCCTCTTCCCTCTCGTGCTCTCTATCTCTCATTGTCTCTCTCTCAAATAAATAAATAAAATCTTTAAAAAAAAAATATTTGAGGTGTAATTTACATGAAGTAAAGTGCACAGATCTTAAGCGTGTGGCTTGGTGAATGTTTCGTATGATCCCAACTGTATAATCACCACCTAGGTGAATAGAACATTTCTGGCACATCAGAAGTCTCCCCCATGGCCCTCTCAGTCTCATTATTCTTTTTGTTCCTGATTTTGACCTGTGGAAATTGCATCAACCTGGTTCTTGGGTCCTGATAAGTCCCCACATTTCTTCACTTGCTTTCTGGCATAAATTATTCCAGGCTCATCATACACTTTCTCTGCTCCAGCCTGGCAACTGGCCATTTCTCCCAAGGAGTCCTGGTTCCTTGAACTGGGGACTGTTAACTTTGAAATCAGTATCTAGACCAGCTGTGCTCATTCTCCTGAGATGTTCCTGCTTCTAGGCCCTTTCAGAGGTTAGAGCTAGAAAATATCTATTTTAAATCTGTGTTTAAAATCATACCTCCAGTTTCAATCAGTCATAAGGTTCTTTCTCTCCCTATCTCAAATTCCATAGTCCCACAGTAATAACCTTGGCTGCCAAATACATCAAATGTTTATTCATTTGCAAATATATATAAACATATTGCTCAATTTCTGAATAATTATCCCATTATACTACCAAACGATAAGCCTACTAAGTAAAGCTAAAGGTTTCTTGCAATTATTTTGTCTTTAGATTGATGGTATAAAGTCAAAATACTGTTGGATTCGTTTTTCTTTTATGATTGTGATCCCAACGTGACATTTCTAAGATAGTTGTTAGAAGGTTAAATGAATTCATTCTGTGCCTCTTTTGCTGGAACATAACTTCCACAAGGGTAAGGACTCGCCTCGCCCCCCTGCTGATAGTTTAGCGTTTAGACTCTCGGCAAATATTTATTTGAATGAGTAGGTGAATGCCAGGGTTGAGCTGTGCACTGAAAAGGCTTATGAAGTAAGTCGCTTCTGGCAATATCTCACAACTCTGTAGGCTTAGAACAGAGCGTGATACTCCCCAAGGCTTATGGGAGGCGGTGGTGGAAGACTGGGAAAATATATAACCCTAGATGGTGAGCACGTGGGCTTTGGAGGTATTCAAGAATCGGAGCAGCCAGAAGACTAAGAATACACTGCTGGTTGACCGGCCGTGGTTCGTCCACACCAGGAAGCAAGTTGCGGTCCAAGCTGCGGGCTCCGAGCGTTTTAAGAGCTGAAGGCGGCCCCTCAAAGCATGCACTTTGGACCAGGCTGCCAATTTTAAAAAGATTGGATTTGGATAGTGATGCTGGGAGGGGAATGAGGGAACCATGCCCAAGTCAGGGAACTGGAGGCGCAGCGAGTCCCGCGTCCTAGATACCTATAAGCCACGCTTCCGGGTAAGCCTAACTTCCGGGTCCCGTTCCGGGCCTCCAAGCCCACTAGCCAACAAGCTCAGCCCCTGCCGTCCTCTGCAGATGCTGTGCGCTGATTGGCTGCATCTGAAGTCCCGCCCCAGCGTCTCAGCCTTAGGTAACTCCGAGCTCCAACGCCCGCGCCAGCCTCGGGACTCTCCGCTTCCTATTGGACTACCAATTTCCAATCGGAAGGGTTTTTGAACCTCAGTCTTCAAGCGGCGCTGTCCATTGGCGGACAGGATGGGGGCGGGGCCTGGGGTCGTTGCCGGTGCCGCCCGGGTGTAAGGTAAGGGACTAGAGGCGAACCCCGCGACAGAGCGGCCTAGTGTCTACCCTGGCTTCTCTCTCCTCCCCCGCGGGTGAGCCTGCGCGAGACCCCGCGCCCCCTCCCAGCGCCCGCCCAAGTGCGCCTGCGCAGCAACAGCCACCATCCAGTCTGCCCCTTCCCTTCTTCCTCCGCACCTTTTCCCTTCCCCTCCCCCGCCCCCTAGGCCCTTTCGTAGGGTCTCCCCAGCCCTGATCCTTCCCCCACCCCGTCCCCATCCCCGAGGATCCTGGCGCCCCAGCCGCAAGGGCTGCGCCTCCGTGAGCCGCGATGTGCGTCCTCCCAGAGCCTGTGGGCCTCACTGCCCTCATTGCCCTCCGTTTCCTCCACACAGGCCCCCACCACCTTCAGAATGACGCTGGACGTGGGGCCGGAGGATGACCTGCCCGACTGGGCCGCGGCCAAGGAGTTTTACCAGAAGTACGACCCTAAGGACGTCATTGGCAGGTGAGGGTTAAGCCAGGGAAACAGAGGTCCAGAGAGGTCGGGCCCTAGCCAGAATACAATGTTACATCTGAGGGCTGGATAGTTCTGAATGGGAACGAACAGTGGTTAGCGGAGGAACATTTGGTGACTAAACTCCTTCTCTGGGTCAATCCCCATTTCTTCCAAATTCACTCATTTATGTGTTCAACAAACATAGTTAAAGCAACTA